GTTTCTCTTTGTATCTCCGTAGTTTGCCGGTGCATTGACCATATTTCCAAACATAATCTTTTTTGCAGATATTGTATACTACTTTTTCCATCATTTTCATTTACTGTAAACATTTGCCACACATCTGATATTTGTTTTCTTTGAATTTTGAGATGATCCAACTTCTATAACATTATCATCTTCTAAAGTTATTGGAGAGCAACTATCATTGAAAATAAGATTTTGAGAAGAAGAATCGCGAGAATCCATAATATAGTAGGATTAAAAAGTTTAGTAGTGACTAGTGAGAACTAAGAAGAAAGAAATATAATCAAGATGATGATGATATTTGCAATTGAATAATTGTAATTGTAGTAAGGTAGTAACAAGTATGAACTATGAAGTATAAATGTATAATAACTAATGAGAGTGTATTGTAAAAATAATTGTAAGAATAAATTGAAATTTATAGATGAAGGAGATGATATCACCGTTAGAAAAGTTATATTACTGTTATTAAAATTAAAAAAAAATTATAGATGTAGCAGGCTCCTGCATGCACTACAGCAGGCACGCCTGCTGTTGCCTGTTGGGGGAGAAAGCCAAACGGCTCTCTCCTCCCCCTTTTAAAAAAAAAAATTTTTATTTTTTTTACGGGCCCGAGTTATCCGCGGCCCGAGAGAGTGCAACCCGCGAAGCCCGTGGGTTACACCTCCTTGACCCGTGAATCGCCCGCAAGGGTCACGGGTCGGCCCGCGTCCCGATTTTCACGAGTATGACCAGCCCGTCCATCTTGACACCTCTAATTATGTGACAAATGACGGTAGAATTAATATAGAATATATGGTACCAAACAGTGAAATCACAAGTTTTGATTTAAATTCGTTAGAAAGTATTAATGAGTATATCTCTCAAATGTTGTAAACATCATGTCCATGCAATTTAAATGAGTTCAACTTATCGATTATCGTGGTTTGGACAGATCGTGGTTGCTTATGAGTGTATTTATTGACAGAACGACATAAGTATCGTTAAACAGCACTTGTATCATTCTGTTGATTTCTCTAATATTTTGTTTTTTTAGCGAAACGAGTTCGAGTATTGGACCCCCTAACTTAAAAAGGTGGGAAATGTTGATTATGTGACAAATAATGGTAGAATTGACATATATTATAAGGTATCCAACGGTGAAATCACATGTCTTGCTCGACACTCTTTAGAAAGTGTAAGTAATGAACTTTTCTCTCCAATGTTGTAAACGGCTTGTCCATTCTGCAACTTAAATTAGTTTAGCTTATCGATTATCGGGTCTCGAACATGTCGTTGCTGTTTATACTCAAGTGTCGTTATCTACGTAGTTGCGGCAATTTGCTGTTTATAATCATGTTTACAAATAGAATGACATAAAGGTCATTTTCTTCTATGTAACGACGCTTATGTTGTTATGTTATTTCTCCTATATTTTGATATGTTTCTAACATAACCACCTCAAGTAATGGACATGTGATAAAGAACTATTGAAATGATATAATAGACTCTTATAAGTCGATAACGACGCTTGTGCTGTTCTCAAGAACGTTTTCATTTTAATAACAGCACTCGTGTCGTTCTCATGGACGCTTCACTTATGTCGTTCTCATGGAAAGCTTATAAGTCCTGTAACAGCACTTATATCGTAATCATGGGCGCTTGTAAACATTTAACTTACATAATCTAACTTGGAGAATATTTGTTATTTTATATTTTTTAACAAAGAAAAGAAACAATCCATTTTCCTTACACTTATGATTATATTTCTTCCTATGCCTTGTGCTTACACAATTAGCACTAATGATTATCCATAATTTGAGCAACAACGAATTTTAATAGAGACACAAATCCTAAAGACTTCTCAAAAGCTCCATTATGAATGTGCCTCATGATGAGAACCCAACTCTATGACTTTTGCACATATATGTAGTTCAAAATTTCGCTGGAAAAACTTTCGTAACCTAATGTCTTCATCATTACTTTCCCAACGAGCTATAATCAAACAACTCACTCCAAGGACTTCATTAACTTGAATCTTATTCAATGAGCACCTGATATACAAGTTAAAATAAATCATATTAAATGAGTAATAATAAAAAGACAATGAATAAAAGAAACTAAAATTTGAAAAGACCAAATCAAATCTATTAACATCAATAAAGGGAAATAGCATCAGCTCCAACTTCTTTGTCGACATCAACCATGGCCTGTCAATGTTGAAGCATTAGAATAGCCAACTAACACATAATATTGTAGCAAATGTCAAGAATTAATCAATTCTTAATGAGCTAATGCCAAGCAAATAAACAAAAATTCTCAGAAGAAACAAAGAACAAAATATAAAATTAGAATTTAGAATTTGAAGATATTGAAAGATCAAAATCTCAATGTCTATCTTGTAGTGCTGTGTTTCCCCCACAAAAGAGGTGTTTCATGTTTAGGAATCCAAAATGAATTTTCTGCAAGATACAAGAGGTGTCCTTCCTACTTCTTTTCTTAGCTTAAGTAGTTAGAGGTAGGATTTTCCTACCACTGATAAATCTTACCTCTGTTTTTCACTCGAGTGAGAAGATACTGTAGGAAGGCTTTTACCTTACTCACTTTTAATGACTTTCAATCATTCCTCCAAAGTTTCAAACCTCAATCCACATCCATGTACATATCTTCTTTATACAATTGATTAACTTAACTCCAACACCCTCCAAATACCCCATCCAAATTAGTGAACTTCAATAATCTAAATTCCTACTATAATAATTGTTATTACTGCAACAAGGAATACAAAATAAACATCAAAAAACTCAAATTTACAACTAAAAGAGAACTAATATAAGAAACAAATCAAATCACTAATCCATTATATCACGTATTTACGATTGATATCAAAACAACAAAAGGACTTCATTGATAAGTTTTATTAGTAACTTCTTTATCATGTTATTGACACAATTTTTGTTTGTAACAATGCTAATAGATGAATTCCTCATTAATCCATTATCTTCAAAATTCCATATGTATCAAAAATTCATCAATGTTAAAAAAACTCAACTACAATGATACAAATATATTATGAAATCATAAATAATCCATTTTATTTTTAAATTTTTCATGTCATTTCTACTCCAATTGAAGCACAGAATCACATTTCAAAATGAAGAAAAATTGAAGAAAAAATTACATTTTTACTATCCCAATTTGTAACAAAGAGAGATGAAGCAGTGTGAAATAAACTTGAATGGAAGAAGAAATTTTTTGTAATATTGAAATACACAAGAAATTGAGGTTAAGAAGTAGACGTTAGTTCTAAATTTAAAGAAAATAGTTTCACAATGAAATTGAGAAGAAGAAAGGAAGACGTGACAATGAGGGAAATTGGGTGAATACTTTACTATTAATATATGAATTTCTTTTTAACCCTTCATCTTCAAAACCCTAAATGTATCGAAAATTCGTCTACGTCAAAAAAAACTCAACTTAAACTACATTAAATATATAAGTATATAAGTAAACTGTGAAATCATAAAAGATGCATTGTTTACACTTTCATTCCAAACCTACACCGATGGGAGCACAAAATCACATTTCAAAATGGAAAAAAAAAAATTTGGAGGAAAGAATTACCTTTTTTTTGTTGTAATAGCTCTTGCCAAAGAGAGATGAAGTAATGTGAAATAAACTTGAATCAAAGAAAAAGATTTTGATAATATTGAAATGTACTGAAAACAAAGGTGAAGAAGACGATGTTAGAATTCAAATTTGGGAATAGGGTTTCAATGTGAAAATAAAGAAGAAAAAATAAGGTGAAATGAAAGAAATTGGGTGAATAATTTGATATAAATTGAATGACAACTTTGTCATTTTACCAATTAAAACATTTTAAATTTTTTTATTTTGTTTTAATGCTGGTCAAATGCCATTTATCCAAGTTCATTGTCCAACCAGACTATTTGGTTGCGATTACATATTATTTAGATCACATATCGTTTAATAATGACAAATTATCTATTTTATCAATAACATATTATTTATTAATCACAAATTAACTATTTTATTGGTCACAATCACATAAATAATTGGTCTCAACTCCCCCTCCCAACCGACACCAATTGAACGTTGTGTCACTTCATCACCATCGTCAATACCACCTGCACCACAACCAACCAAACGACGCATCACCTCACCACCACCACACTACCACCACCAACCACCAACATTTGCAACTGCAAAACAACCACCATACTTTGCAAACCACCAACAACAATCACCCCGCTAAGCAAATCTAATCAAATCAAAGGAGGAAGAAACCACCCCATAATCACAACCATCATCGCTACATACAACGACGAGCAAGCGCCACTGAGCATGATGCCCAAAACCGCAACAGCTATAATGACCGGTGGTTGTGATCGTACAAGTGAGGAGAATGACGAAGGTGAAATTGTTATGATAGAAAATGAATTAAGGTTAAGGACGGGTGGAAGGATTAGAGAAGGTATACCTGATTTTTAAAAGAATAATGTTGAAATTTGATCTTTGAAATGATTCGAGTTAAAATGTAGGAGTAGATGTAATTTCCCCTAATAATAAGGTAGACCCATTTTAAGGAGCCATAGCCATAGCCATAACCAGTAAAACACGATACAATAGATCACCATTCCAATCTCTTAGCAACGAGTGGACCAACGTACTTCACAAATCACTACAATCTTAGCACCGCCACAAACTTGGAAACTCGAATTATGATCATAAACCAGGAAGTTTACCTAATATATATGACAGCCATTACATTATAGTTTTTATCTGTACACATACATATACACATGATTTCGACCTGCATCTTGATGAAACCGAAGGAATAAATTGCTTAAGATGCTGGACCAATTGTTTCTATGTACACAAGTCATCCACCAGTAGCACCTAAAGAAAAAAACGAGGTTTCCTCATTTTTCTTTGGGTCGAGGATGGGAAAGGCAGACACAATATTCGACCTGCTATGTCCAGTTCCTCTTAGAGCGAAGTTGAGTAAGCCTGTCCCTCAAGAGAGCTGCAGTACGAAATCACAAAGTAAACATCCAAGTTTCCCACTTTCCGAATCTTCGTAATAAAAGCAAGTAAATGAGCAAAAGATGATACACACAATAATTTACCCAGTTTGCGGCAATGAATTCCAAATCAATTTTCCACTATAAACATGAATGAATAATAGAAGCCCAAGTAGTGGTTTCTATTCCAAGGTATTGGTTTGTTCCATCCTTTTTGGGATTAAAAACATGTAATTTACAAAGACAAATTTAAAAGGTCATTATTCTAAATCATGATTAGAATGTTTACCTGCATCTCTGTATCGTTCTTCAACTGCAGCAATTAGCATATTGCGCAAAAGATTAAACTCCTCTGTTTCAAGGCAAGGCTTCCCAGTAGGCCTGCAACCACAACACCTTAGTTAGACCATACAAGAACTGCGAAATTGTACATTCACACCTACATGCATTACTAATGATGTAAAAATGTTAAATCGCCTCAAAACCTGCAGTCAAGAATGAATGTGTAAAAGTTCAATTCTCCACCAGTATAGTAAACATGTCCTTGCTATGAACTTCATCAAACACCACCATAAAAGGTTTCTAAGGGCTCATTTGGTATGCAATATTGGACTAAATTGGATTGAGAGTATAGTAGGAGCATAGTACAACAAACAAGATTTCAACTTTTTTTCTTATTGGAGCTCCTGGGATTATCGACTATACCTGTCCAACTCAGTGAATAGCAAACCATCTGATAAAGAGCTCAGCAAGGGCACTTTTGCGGATTCAATAACCCTCATGCCATCACTGTAGGCCAAGTATTTGTTGACTTGTATTGGCACCTATCAGATCAAAAAAATCCACATAAGATTTCATTACTCAGAGAGTCCTTATTACGTACAAAATGTCCGAAGTAAAAGAAGGCAAATATGACCAGTTTGTTTGACTGTATTTTATTGCTCCAGTTCCTATAACAATTAAGACAATGACTAGGCTTCTAACCTTTTACATTCACCAAAGATCAGCCCAGAGCCGAACCGAAAAGTATATAAAAGAGACGGCCCCATTGTAAAAGGAGGCCAAGAAATGTGATGCTGTTGGATTAAACCATGAAATTCGACTTAAATTAATGGGAATATTTATTATACTATCTGACACATTCTAAGATGTCAGAATCTTGAAACATGCAGCATCTTGCATTTGACTCGTTGATAGTATCATTAGCTAAAAACAATAAAGAGTCAGAAGTCAGTCCCTGAGCAAATGGAAGATTCCGTTACAAACATCTAAAATGATCACCATATAAAAAACATTTATATGACTGACATCTTATGCAGAATGGGCTATCCAGGCATATCAAAAAGAATGGTCGTAATCACAACTATTTTCAATTCAGCTTCGTTTTTCCACAGATTTGTGGATATTCGAGAGTAGTATATTTCTTCCAACACAACAGAGTGCCCAAAATTGGCATAATCTGACAAATAAAAAGAAGCATGCTTCGATCTTCATTATGTCTACTGATATATCTCGCCACGCAAATACTACACGTTGGATAACCAATTCAATTAACCCCATAGAGGAAAAAAAAAACCACTGAGGAACTCTAAACAGTGTGCAAAATTTACCTTGCATCTCACAGCTATGTTAATGGCATCTGAAGGTCGCAGATCAAAGCTGACACATTCTGCTTCATTGTCCAACTACAATTATAGAAAAGAGAATAAACAACTAGCTCTCTCAAAAGTTGTCTATGTGGCAAGTTGGACACGTGCCCCAGAGTATCCGGGAGTGTTGGATACAGGCGCCAGTTTGTGTTTTTTCCACAATTCACTCTACAGTAGCATACTGACAAATAACTTATATACCTTTACAAGCTGTAACTCGGCAAAATATGCCTCGTGTACCCTCTTGGTGACTCGAACAAGTTTAACCTGCAAAATGGGCAAGCGGATAAATCAACAAAAAGAACAGAATAATGTCCACTCTTATGATTGAAGAGTAATTAGGAAAGTGTAAAATGAGATTCATAAACTCACTGTATAGCCCATCTTCTCAATCATATCCTTCACCACTTGATACACTGTAGGCCTAGCCTGAATACAGCCAACAAATTAGCTTTCAGGGAAACATGATTTGAAGAGAAATCCCCTATTTAAGTTTGAAAGCTCAAGCAAAATTGACAAGGACGAAACTTACAATTTGGACATTGCGTACGGCTGCCATGAGCAGCACACTTGGCATCTCCACTGTAATAAAAAACAATAGATAGTCAAGCATCAATTTAGCACTCATAAAGGACACTTCAAAGTAATCACAGTTCAATATGTGCATACAAACAATTATCGGAAGAAGAAGTCCCATTTCGTCTTCCATCTTCAATACGATTGCTGGATGTGGAGCATAATCTGGCAGATGAACCCCTTGAGGATTATTATGGACACATCTCAAATGCCTACCATCTCTCATCTTGATCATGAAACCATCCGGGCTACTCCTCACCTCGACTAAACAATCAAATGGACACAACTATCATTTGGAACATCATCCAACCAAAATTTTTCTTGTAAGAACATGGGGAATATATATATTAATTTAAATATGCAAGAACTGGGCAAAGAGTTGTGCCAATATGGAGCTTGCTTTTAAATTTTTCAATCAGACAATTGATACAACAATGAATTTCTTGATGCGGCCGAGAATACGATGTCAAAAAATGGGAAATGGGAAAATAATCTTTAACAATTACATCCTGATTCAAATACAGAGATTCTGAATTATTCTCATGCCCAAAATTTGGAAGTCAACAAATAAAATAAACATAGTTTTTCATTTACATCTAATAGACTATCATTGAAAAATATTGAAATGGAAACAAACAACTTCAATTTCAAACTAGCATACCAGCTTCAACCACACTGGAATTCACATAATCAGCGTCATTCTCGTTGGAATTCCCTGCCATGCTACCATTACCATTCGAAGATGAACTGAAACTACACATAACCGTCTTGACTTTAGGTGAATACTGTCGATAACCTACATTTATCTTACCGCTGTTGATCCCCCTAATCCCCAAGAATCCACTTTTGATGAACTTAGCATTTGATAAGGGCGATTTTACAGGTACAGAGTACATTCCAGTTTGTTTTGCACAGACCACGGGGCAAAGAACCGGACCGTGAAGAGAACCCATCTCAAATTTTCTGTAATCCATCATCAACTTAATAAACATATGAACATAACCCTCTCTTTTTATAATTACTTGTCAGAAAGAAGAATCTAAATTACTTGCGGAAAAAAAAAAGTTTCTTGAAAAAAGGTTCCTCGTATGAAATATAATAAAAATTATGAATTACTCACATCAAATGTTAATAACTCAGAAGCTTCAGCGTTGATATTAGTTAATTTTACACCAGTCAAATTAAGCCAAGATTCCATTAATATCTCACAAAAACGAAAGGTCAAACTGAAAATTCTCTAGTTATGGTAAAAAAATCTCTCCTTCTCTTTTACGGGATAAGCTATTGACATTTATCTTTATCAGTACACTACTTCAAAATTCAATTACAAGAGTTTTTCGTTATGTACACCTGAAAACTCCTTCGGATATAATCTTCAACAAGCTTGATCAAGAACTTCCCTCTCACCGATCGGGGTTTTGAGCACAACCCAGTAAAAATCTTCGCTTGATTTCTCAAAAACTTTCACATAAATTACGAATTTATGACAAATTTAAGAGATGTGCATCAAGAAAAATCGATCTGGCTAAAAAAGCAAGGCATATACATACAACATGTATATATACCTGTACGTTGAATGGAGAGTTTTGGCTAATAAAGGACCGACAAGGGAAGGCAACTAGATAAAGGAAAGAAGAATTGGTGCAAGCTGGAGAGAGAGGAGAAGAAGATAAGGAGATCTTTCTTGGAGTAGAGAGAGAGAGAGAGAAAGAGTAGAGTGTTACAATCAAAAGACGAACTATTCGGAGTGAATGAATTAGGACATTATGAGCAGTTTGTGTTGGAAGCTTATGATTCTTCTGTGAACTTTCTATGTTTAAAGACTGATATACCCTTTTGATGATGCCATGTTTGTTTTTAACAAATTTACTAAAAAAATTAAAAACAAAATGTGTATTACTTTCTTGGTGGTATGCAAAAGGCAGAAGTTACTCTTCATCTAGATGAAAATAGAAGAGTTTTATTTTTTGTATAAATAAAAAGTTGAGGTAGTTTAATTGAATATATTATTTTTATTAAGTAATAATAGTTTTGAGTTTTTTTTTTTGTGGCAAACAGTATGGAAACCAAAGCAACTCAACACTAGCATTGCAATTAATAATCAAAAGTGAAGTGTTGCAAAATTATAAGATAATTATTAATGACTATTTAGCTCATGTTTGACCCTCGTTTTTTAAAATTTATTTTTCTTCAAACTTAATTTTAAATACACAAATGGAGTTTATAACGTTTATCAACTTTTTAACAATACAATCAAACATGGATATTGTCTTGTCGTAAGCCTGCGTTTGGTAACCATTTTCATCCAAATTGTAGAAAAATTATAGACGTTTTACAGTTCCATTGGCAGGGTATGCAGTACAAGTGGCAGGGAGGGGAACGGACTTTTTTGACAAAACAAGGACTAAAATGACCAATAAGCCCTGATTCAAAATGCATTATTAACTACAGTAAGGACAGCCCGATAAATTGGAATTCCTGCNTACAGTAAGGACAGCCCGATAAATTGGAATTCCTGCAGTTGGTGCATAATCTCAGGCTGGTCCCACTGATTTGCCAGGAAAAATGTATTTTTATGGTAAAAATGGTTACCAAACATTATGTTCAGATTATAACTCTCATCGAAATCATATATATTCATTGGTCATTTTTATAATAAAATATAAATTTGAGTTTTGACCCTATTAATTTTCATCAATAATTATTTTTTTTCCTTCTAATTTTATAACATTATAACAATTTTCTCATAAATAAAGTTGAATTAAGTTAGTTGTACACTTGTATACATTTTGTTTAACACTCCCCTATGTGTAAAAAATCTGGTCATTAATTGGAGGTATTGTTAAAATTAATATATAAAAATCTAACAATTTATATCAGTGTCAAACTAGATGTCAACCTTAATATACATGTAATGGATTGAATAGAGTAATGTTATTCTTCTCCAGTGGGGATAAAAACATAGTTTATGTGGTATTAAATGATATGTTAAATAAAATGTTAAATTAAATGACTTATTTAATTTCACCTATAATTTAATGTCACATTAACGTCATGTAGACTGTTATCATCCACAGTGAGGATGAATAGCATTACTCGGATTGAATAAAGTTATACGTTGCATTATTTTTAACTTGATCCAAGGCATCATTCTCAACTCATCAACTACCACTGGAATAGTTTGCGATGGTAATAACTATTGCCTACAATCCATGGTTGTGAAAAACACATTTTTTTCTTTAAAAATATTTTTCAGTTATTTTATTTACGAGAATTATTTTTTATTAGTTGAGTAAACTCTTTTTCCTCATTCTCTCCTTAGGCACAATATTTTTCCTCATCAAAATTATATTATGCCCCTATTTTGGCAGAAATTAATTTTTTTTTATTTAAATCAAAGTTAACAATTAATTTTACTACACATTTTATGGAACCCATAATTTTTTCAATCATGTATTTCATCAACTTTTATCAAAACATACTAAAAATCGAATTGTAATCCCATCAAAGAGGGGCTATAAGTGATTCGTTTTATATTTTTTTTTCCACTAAAGGTTATTTATGACTTTTCTGCAGCTTTTTGCCCTTTTGGATTTAAGTTCGTTACTTTGCCCTTGGTCAGTCCTTGAGCCCCATTTTATCAAAAAATCATTTTTTTCAAAATTCAATTTCAATCACGTATTCTCAAAAAAAATAATATTACACGTAAATTGAAATCTTTTTCTTTATTTTTAACTACACATTCTCCAAAAATCATTATTCAAAAATGCATTTTTCTCTCAAACAAGGGCTAAAATTAAATTTTCAAAAATGTATTTTGAAATAATAATTTTTTGAAAAATGTGTGCTTGCAAAAGATGAAAAAAATTTGAATTTACTTATAATATTATTTTATTGAAAAATGTGTAATAAAAAAAATGAAAGAAAAATGTATTTTGAACGGAAGAAATTGTGTCAAAAAAGGGGCTTTGGATTATGTTAGCATTAAGCATTTATGGTATGTTTGACACCTATTAATTTAATTTATGGTTTGCTACATGATCATTTTCATTCACATATTCACACAATAAAAAAATTTACACATACACAAAAATAATTTCACTATTTTTTAATTACACATTTTCCTAAAAATCGCTGTTCAACGCTCTTTTTTTCTACTGTAATAATTGTCAAACATCATGATAAGAATCTGACACAAACCGCATTGACGGCGCGCCGATATCGTAGCGCTTAGACGAGTGCCACGCGTGAAGCTACTACTCATACGATCTGGATAAGGAGTCCTTGGAATCTAAATTTAGGTCATTTGAGACCCTCGTTTGCAAAATTCCGTGGTCCATGTTAAAGAATCTCACTATTGATTGTACATAGACCTATTAATAATTTAGCCCCTGTTTGACCCCCATTAAATTAAATTTTTGGGGGTAAATAATTTTTAGAATAGTAATTGATGGGAGATGTGTGGTTGAAAATTTTTTGATTTGTGTGTATTATTATTTTATTTGATGAATGTATGGTTGAGATGAAGAGAGAAAAAAAATTAATGTAATGGAATGTAATATAATGGGGGCCAAACAGGGGCTAAGTGTCACGTTGTCACTTTTCAATTGTGTTACTTTCTAAAGTTACTGCTCATCATTTTAAAAAGAAATAAAATTAATGTTAGTTTTGTTAAAAACTGATGTTTATCCCCCCAAAAAAATGATAAAAATTTCAAGAAAATGACAAATACTAGAAAAAGTGACAACAATTCGAAAAAGTGGCAAATATTAAAAAAGTGACAAAAATTCAAAAAAATGACAAATTCAAAAAAAGTGACACAAATTCAAAAAAAAAATAATAATAACACACTCAAAAAAACGATAAAAGTTCAAAAAAGTGATGTTCAAAAATATTGACAAAACACCAATTAAAATATTAATATAATGGGGGCCAAACAGAGGCTTAATCTGACTAAATGGAAAAAGGACAAGAAAATGAGAGAATTTCTAATATTTTGTTTATCTAATGTACAAATTGGAAAATAACTAGTGGTGGCAAACGGGTCGAATAGCTAGTCGATTCGACCGCTCGACTAGTGAAAAGTAGGCTCGTGGACGGTTCGAGCTAGTCATGAGCTGAGCAGGTTGGCCGCTATGTGGGCCGAGCGGCTCGTCGGCTTGCCCAAGGTGGAGGTTTAATTTTATTTTATTTTTAAAAAGGTTTATCTTTAAAAAATAAAAATATAAAAAAAATTGACGAGGTCACGAGCCGAAGTTCGGCTCGACCCACGAGCCACTATTTAATGCTTATCTATTTTTAAACGAAATTTTATCGTGTGTTAATAATTAAGCCTCCGTTTGGTAACCATTAAAATTTTCATTCTCATTCTTCTACTCATTTTTGACCACACATTATTCAATAAAATAATATTTTCCATCACATCAATAACTTTTCCTTCTTTTTCAACCACACATTCTCCATGGACCCCACTTGATGTGAAAGATAAAATGTATTATTTGAAGAAGAATGGCTTAAAAAAAAAAAAAAAGATTCTTGAAAAAAGGTTCCTCATATGAAATATAATAAAAATTATGAATTACTCATATCAAATGTTAATAACTCAGAAGCTTCAGCGTTGATATTAGTTAATTTTACACCAGTCAAATTAAGCCAAGATTCCATTAATATCTCACAAAAACGAAAGGTCAAACTGAAAATTTTCTAGTTATGGTAAAAAAAATCTCTCCTCCTCTTTTACGGGATAAGCTATTGACTTTTATCTTTATCAGTACACTTCTTCAAAATTCAATTACAAGAGTTTTTCGTTATGTACACCTGAAAACTCTTTCGGATATAATCTTCAACAAGCTTGATCAAGAACTTCCCTCTCACCGATCGGGGTTTTGAGCACAACCCAGTAAAAATCTTCGCTTGATTTCTCAAAAACTGTCACACAAATTACGAATTTATGACAAATTTAAGAGATGTGCATCAAGAAAAATCGATCTGGCTAAAAAAGTAAGGCATATACATACAACATGTGTATATATCTGTACGTTGAATGGAGAGTTTTGGATAATAAAGGACCGACAAGGGAAGGCAACTAGATAAAGGAAAGAAGAATTGGTGCAAGCTGGAGAGAGAGGAGAAGAAGATAAGGAGATCTTTCTTGGGAGTAGAGAGATAGAGAAAGAGTAGAGTGTTACAATCAAGAGACGAACGATTCGGAGTACGAATGAATTAGGACATTATGAGCAGTTTGTGTTGGAAGCTTATGATTCTTCTGTGAACTTTCTATGTTTAAAGACTGATATACCCTTTTGATGATGCCATGTTTGTTTTAACAAATTTAATTATAAGTAAATTTACTAAAAAATTTAAAGACAAAATGTGTAATACTTTCTTGGTGGTATGCAAATGCAGAACTTACTCTTCATCTAGATGAAAATAGAGGAGTTTTAGGGTGCGTTTGATTGCAAGGGTGGAAAATGGGTGGAAAGAAAATGTTTTACAGGGAATTGAATTGTTTAGAATTTATTTTATTGGGAATTGTAATTAATTGTGTTTGATTAGTATAATTTTTCACTTTTTTCGTTTAGCTTTGTTTTTCATGAAAATTGTCAATTAAAGAAATAAATTTTATTAGAATTGAGAATAGAATTTGTTTGGATTGCCAAAAAGTAAAAAAAATAAAAAATAAAAAAAATTTTGAAATTTTTTTGTGTTCGTTTGACTTTATTTCACATGCAAATTGTTAATTAAATGAATTTTTTTTTTT